GATTTTCATCCGTCCTTATCTGGTGAGATCGACAAACGAATCTCTTCATCATGTACTTTCATTCGAAATGTAGGCCCCCCTAACAATGAAACATACAAGTCTGCCTTATCTACAAGCCCAGTATAAATGTGACATGAAAATAGTCTTGCTTTTCGAAAGCAACGCTGTGCAAAATATCATGGAAACGGGAGGTTACTCATATGATTGAAGCGAAATTCATCTGTTAGTACCAAGGTTAAGTAGAACTCCTATTCAAGATTATCTGATAATTTCAAAAACCAACATTTTATGAATATTTTAAAGGCATGTAGGGTCTCTTCCAAATCACAAACATGAATTTCAATCGGCGACATTACTTAGTTTCGATGTGAGTAGGCTGATAAACTATGAGATGGCGAGGCGAGGTAGAAAGGATGGGTGCCCGTTCAGGTTGAGAAAACCATTTTTGAGGCAAGGATAAGGGAAATTCAATGATATCCTCAGGCCATCCAATTATCGTTTCAGAGACAACTCCACTATCAGTCGTTTAATTTACTAAAAGAATGTTAACCGATTAAGTTACTTCTTAAAGGTCAGTTACTATGGCAACAAGCCGCCATTTGGTAGGCCACGCTTTAACCTATGCTGTACTTAGGTGTCTCTGTTCTGTAGAGGATCGATGTGAGGGTGAGATGAGGAAAGAACAAGTGAGATTGGACAGTTGGTCATCACCTTCGTCTTAGCAAGACGAGACTGTATGCTCTGCAGGCAAGGCGCTATCGTCCGTAAGAAAAGGGAAAAGTGCCAAAATCTGTTGAATCCGTTCCGAAAGACTGGGTCTCCTGCATTCGATTGCCGCTACGAGGTTGAAAACGGTGCTGGTTGGGCGCTTGACACTTGTCAAAAGTGGGTATTGCCCGAAGCCTGTTGCCACCGCAACCGTTCCTACACATTGGGCATTACAGGCTAAACACCAGAAGCAGTGATCCTCCAGACAGGCGAGCTCAAGAAGTAGATTGTGGACAGTGGCATTCTGAGTATCGAAGCGCTGTTGCGCAACATCGACAAAGACGATTTCATGTGGAGTAACAGTAGAAGAAGCAATGTTGTAGAGAAGTTAATTTGTATGAAATTGCCTGAAGAGGAGAGTCGAAGGCCAGTCTCACCAGAAGACGACGGCAGATTCCGGTCGTAGTAAAGCCAAAGGGCTGTAGAATAACCGATATCGGTTGTCATCCTCAGGTGAGATCGACATACGAATATATTCATCATGCAATTTCATATAAAAATGAAAGTCTTTACAGCATTTTTACCGTAAGAAATTAATTAAAACCCAGCTTTCCTTCGTATCCAGAACAGCAAAGTTATCGTCATGCGAATGAATATGGCGACATTCTATTTTCACTTTCACAACTTTAAAGGGCTTCGTTAATAACTTGAGTTCCATTTTATCGCTTGAGCTGACGTCGTCCCCACATTTTAGGGGATAAAGAGGTGTTCACACCATAGCCAGAATGGGAGCCAATCAGCACATCCAAAGTAT